CTAACTAATATCGAGGCCTTTTGTGGTAAAACCCCACACCTGACGGATTGGGCAGGTGGTAAAGTGGGGACAGTATCGATATTGTTAGAGTGGGACCCATCGGGCAGATCCAAAAACTTTAACAAGCCACTGATCCCCAAAGCCTCTATGCAAGGGTAAGTTCCTATAGGCTATAGATCCTACTTGTAGCCTGTCTTAAACATGTAAAAACTTTGTTCCCTATAGATATGAAAGATCAACTAATTTTTCTATCCTTTTTGTGTTGCAGAAAAGAAGAGAGAAAATAAATGAGAGTCAGAGTTCTGCAGAACATTGTCCCCAATGGAACAAAGGTAGGCAGTATGCCTTGTGAAACAATCTTCTTTTCCCAGGAGGTTGATGCAAAATTCTCAAATTTATCTATTTGGAATTGCAGGTTGATGTTAGTACAATGCTTGAGGAAGCTGTCCATTATGTGAAGTTCTTACAACTCCAAATTAAGGTAATAACCAAGAAAATTAACCCATGATGAGCAATAAGTTTTCGAATGTTCCAATCGAAATCTACATATCTGAAAATCGGTTGCTGATATTGTTGTTTTCCCCCCTTGTTTGATCTTTGCAGCTGTTAAGCTCTGATGATATGTGGATGTATGCTCCCATCTGTTACAATGGAATGGACCTGGGACTTGATCTGAAGCTCACCTCACCAAAGCATCATAGAAAGAAAACTTGCTTTGGAACCCAAATCTTTTCTCAACTCTCAAATTATGCAATAAAGTTGAGAAAAATGTTGGTGAAAAGTTTAGGTTCTGCAGCATTTTCCATAAATTCTTTTTATAATGTAACAAACAGACATGACTGTGCTGTGAGCTCCACAAACCAAAATTATTCTTCAATTTACCAATTTTGGGTTGAGTGGGTTTGAGCAAGTGATGTATTATCTCATACATGGGATGAGATGATTGATTTGACATACTGATTATTCTGCAGTTGATATTCTTCAGAATGAATATTGATGAATAAACATGATGTTTGGATAAAGTAAGTTGGTTCCTAACACCCAAGGAAATTATTTTTAATTTGTTATAAATCGATGTGTCAAACCCAATCCAGTAACGACATTTGTCAATGAAAACTAGTAACTTTGCGTGTTAGTCCCTATCCGAATTTGACAATTGTCTAAAAGTGTCACATGGACAAATGTTTGGTGGTTCATTGACGTGTCATTGCCAATCCGCAAACACACCCCATGTTCTAACATATTTCGTGAGAATTCTATATAAATAAGGTATTATTGAGATCTCACATTCACATCCAGACTTCTCCTCAAATCATAATGCATTGCAATTTCTATTGCTTGTAAATGCTCTTGTTCTTAGTTTTTCATAGCATATGTCCCTATTCAGTTTTCGAGGAATCACACTACTTACAAAATGATATCAACATGACCGATATGGTCAACAAAATTAATCGAATCGATGCTTACCTGTACAAAGATTTTAGCGCTTTCACGTTTAATAATGTATTATACACGTACTTACGTATTTCTCATGTTTAATACACATTTTTTTACAAAAATTTCAATAAGACACACAAAATTTACGTATTATACACATAATTCTCATATATTATTGAATAAAAATGATATATATTCAAAAAAAATGTATAGCCGCACGGCTATACACGTTTTTTCAAAACATATTTAAAAATAGTATCGCCGCACGGCTTTTCTGTTTTAAATATATAGTATAGCCGCATTTCTTTTTTTCTTTTTTTTGAGAAATAGTATAGCCGTTCGGCTATACTGTTTTTTCCTAAGTTTTTTAAAAATAGTATAGCCGTACGGCGTTACAGTTTCTATACATGGAACCTAGGCACTAGGCGCCTCCTTTTTTTAATATATAAATAGTATAGCTGGGCGGTTATACTTTTAGAAAGAAAATTTAATTCGGGAAATTTCGCTAGCATAGACCTGTGCCAGCAAACTTTCTTCAAGAGAAGTTTTTTATATATATATTTATTTATAATTTAAAAAATTATATAATTAGTTTCTTTACTTTTATTTTTTTGACCTACTTCTTTAATTTAATATATGAAATTAAGTAACATCTTCCCCTTTTTGAATTACTTTAATTATTAATTATATTTTAATATAAAATAATTAAAGAAAAAGTCCACAAAATAATTAATTTCTATTTATTAAGTCTTTTGTGAAATCGTTTGGGTGTCTTAATTAAATTTCTCCATAGCCCAAGAGCCCCATCCACTACTATTAGACCATTACTCGAGTATTTGTTGTCCCTTTTTGATTTTTTACTATTCTCTGAAGAAAAAAGACACGGCTTCACCCCCACATTAGACATACCTGAAATCTTACAAATTCCGCCCCCATCCTCATCTCCAAAAGAGTACCTTTATGTGCAGTATGGAGGGCAGAGTTATGGTTTTGATGTTGGCTTCCATTCTTTGTATATGTAGGAACCAAATGAAAAACATACCGCACAAATTTTGCCTTGCCTTAATAATGACTAGATGAGCTGGAAGATTTACACCCCATGCCAATGGGCTGGTACAAACCAATACCTATAATTTTCCATGACGGCTCTTGATGGTTGCTGCTTCCTTTGTTTCCTGTCTTGGCCATTTTGAGAAGTGCTTTCATGCCCCTTGCCCTTTTCGTAGGAAACAACAACCTCTTTGCATTTTGCTTATGATACAAAGTTTGAACTCTACCCCACTTTCATTTGTCTTCTAGCTATACCATACTGCCTCTTGATTCTTCTAACTTGATAGGATAACCTTCTCCAATGAAACTTAAATCTGGTATTTTGTTATTCAAAACTGGCATTTGATGGTTGTATTTGTCATGGTCTATTGCCTTTGTTGGTAGGTGTCGCCTGAGATGGTTAGCGCATTGTGTGGTAACACCCATTTCCTAGGTTGGGGTTAAGCATCCCCTATTGTTGCCTTGAGCTCACTAGATGGCAATGGACTAGAACCGTTAGATGGCTTTGTTTTTTTAATTTTTTCTCTCTGATTTTCCTTTGTCGATAAGACTAGTGTAGAGCATTATCCATTATGTTTAGGCCATTACCAAGGTAGCTATTGTCCCCTTTTGATTTTTTACTTCTCCAGAGTTATTACCTGTATAAAGAATTTAGCATTTTCCCATTTAATACTCATATTATACACTTACATACGTATTTTTCAATAAT